CACACACACACACACACACACACACACACAAAGTAACTGGAGCCAAATAAAAAAGAGGAAGAGGCTGTGGCAGGAGGATCATGAGTTTGAGGCCAGCCTGGGCTACAAGCAGGCTCTAGGCCAGCCTGGACTATTAATGAGAACTGTCTCAAAAAACTAAAATAAAGTAAATCTTACTCTTTTACTTAGAGCAGTTCTCATAAAGGAGTTGGCTATCTGGGGCTAGAGAGATGACCCTCATCTCATCCCAGCTATGACTCCGTTAAGTAACCCTGCAGCTAGCCACAGAGGGTAAAGGAATTACTATGTCTTATCTAGTAAGACAAGAGCTTGGGAAGATTAGTGAGAATAATTAGCAACCCGATTCCAGGTTCCAAATTTAGAACCTTCTATAGGATCAATCTGGCAAGAACGACCTCCTGTCAAACAATTGTGGAATCAACTGTAATTGCCTGTCAAGAGTTTAACTATATCTGTCCCATGTCTCTATGTCACTCATATATGTATATGTGTGTGTGTGTGTATATATAATATATATACTTGTATATGTATATATACATACTCACACATACATATTTATAGGTATAAATATGTGTCTATGTATAGATAATTTACATGTAAATATATATGTATATATATTTGAGACAGAGTCTATGTAGCTGCATTTTCACCAGATAATAATTTGTGTTGTTTCATAACTTTGATTATCTCCAGAACACTAATATCAATAAACACTGGAGCTAAAGGATCTGTCTCTATTTAAAAAAAAAGATTTGTTTTATGTCTTGAGTGTTTTGTCTGCATGTACATCTGCACACCTGAAAAGGCCCTCAGATTCCATGGGACTGCAGTTATTAATGATGTGAGCCTCCATGTGGGTGCTGGAGTTGAACCCAAGACCTCTGGGTTCAGTAATCTTAACTGCTGGGCTGCCCCTATCAGCCCTCTCTGTCTTTATCTACTTGCCTATTAAAATATGTTTTTGGTTTTTTGTTTGTTTTTTGTTTTTGTTTTTGTTTTGATACAGGATTTCTCTGTGTAGCCCTGACTGTCCTGGAACTCACTCTGTAGACCAGGCTGGCCTCGAATTCACAGAGATCCACCTGCCTCTGTCTCCAGAGTGCTGGGATCAAAGCGTGTGCTACTACCGCCTGGCTAAAATATGTTTTTTTTGGTTGTGAGCCTAGCCTTTAACGGCTGAGCCATCTCTCCAGCCCTAAAATATGTTTTATGTTACTTATCTTTTCTTTTTTGTTGTCTTGCTGTGTTTGTTTGTTTGCAACATATTCAAAACCTAGGAAATAAAGATTTAAGTATAGCCAGGCTGTGGGGGTGCATACCTGTCTCGGGGAAAAAAAAAAGATTTAAGTATAGTCTAAGATTCTTCTAGACTTAGAAGATGGAAGGAGGGATGGAGGACATTAAAATGAGAAAGACTGGGCTGGGCAGTGGTGGCACACACCTTTAATCCCAGCACTTGGGAGGCAGAGGTAGATGGATCTCTGTGAGTTCCAGGCCAGCCTGATCTACATAGTGATTTCCAGGACAGGCTCCAAAGCTACACAGAGAAACCCTCCTCAGAAAAACAAAACGATTTGACTGAGATGAGACTTAGGCTAAACTTTGTACTTTGAGCTTTTTGAAAACTTGATAAAAGGCTGACGTAGAGATTGGGAATGTGTCTCAGCAGTGTGAAGCCCTGGGTTTGATCTCTAGCCCCACATAAATCAGGACTGGTGGAACACCCCTGTAATCAGGAGTTAAAGGTCAATCCCAGCCACATAGGAAGTTCCAAGCCAGCCTGGGCTACGTGGGGCTATATGTAAAAAACAAAACAACAAAAAGTTGTGTAAAGAAAAGGAACAGTTCTAAACAAGAGTATCCCAAGAGCTTCTATAATATTCTATTTTGTTTTCAAGACATTTATCTCTTGAAACTTTCATACAAGGAACCCATAATATTGTATACCAGATAAAAGCAAAGACAGATTAAAAGTTAAACAAAAAAAATTGGAACAGATAGCTGAAAAAAATTAATACTTAAAAAAGTAGGCATCTAGAGCTGGGCATGGTGGTGCATGCCTTTAATTCCAGCACTTAGGAGGCAGAGGCAGGTGGGTCTCTGGGCCTTACCCACTGTGCCAACCTCAATGTTCGTGTTCGTGTGTGTGTGTGTGTGTGTGTGTGTGTGTGTGTGTTCATGCTACAAATAAATGTACTAGATTGAATCTGAGGAAAGGAAATCATGTGAGGGAAGAGGTATTAACATGGGAATTCTGCTTCCTGGGTACCCCACTGGCTGCTAGCACGTGGTCTCCAGCGCTGGAGCAGCGACCGTGGGGTGACATGTCAGTGTTGTTCACATGTCACATTAACTCACACCGCCATCTGGGAGTGGGCATATTACCATTGTCCTTATCTTTCGGATCAAAGAACAGAGGCAGAGGAGAGTTCCATCATTTCCTGGGGTCACTCACTCCTAAGTGGCCTGCCTGGCGGCAGAGCCCTACCATCTCCACCCTCACAGCAGCTCACCACGTCTCCCAGATGGCCACGTTCATAATTCAGTCAGCAAACCCTCTGAGCGCATATCCCACCTTGACTTCTGTCAACACACAGGGCCTGGCATGCGGGCGGCACGCGGTACGAATGTGTGGAAAGATAGGAAGACGTTATAATGGACTGAACTGTGGCAAAACCCTTCTAAGAATTCTTGTTAGGAACAAGAGAGATGGCTCAGCAGTTAAGAGCACTGGCTAAGCCGGGCGATGGTGGCGCACGCCTTTAATCCCAGCACTCGGGAGGAAGAGCCAGGCGGATCTCTGTGAGTTCAAGGCCAGCCTGGTCTACAGAGTGAGTTCTAGGACAGGGGAAAGAAGAAGAGGAAGAGGAGGAGGAGGAGGAGGAGCACTGGCTAATCTTGCAGAATACTCAGGTTCAGTTCCCAGAACCCCCTAGTGGCTCACAGTCATCTGTAATTCCAGATCTAGATGATCCAGTGCCCTCCTCCAAACTAAGCAGGCACCAGGCACATGTGGTGGCCAGACATACATGCAGGCAAAACACTCAGACAAACAATCATAATTCTATAAGAAATACAAAAACCTCCCAGAATTCCTGGGCTAAAGACATGGAGAGATGGGACATGCAGACCGATATGAAAAAGTTACAGTCACCTGAGTTATGGCAAACCCTTCAGAATTCTTGTTAGGAGCTGGAGAGATAACTCAGTGGTTAAGAGCACTTGTTGCTTTTCCAGAGGACCTGGGTTCAATTCCCAGCACCCCATGGCAGCTCTTACAACCATCTGTAACTTCAGGGGAGCCAATGCCTCTGTCCTCCTTGTGTACCTATCTATACTCATGTGCACATACCCACATGCAGACACACATAACTCTACATAGCTAGTAATAATAGTAGCAAGAAAGAATTCTTGTTAACCAGCAGTCACTAATTTTTTGGGCTTACCTTGGAGTGGGTTGGACAAAGCATAAAAAGTGAATATGAAGACTAGGGGTGTGGCTTGGTAGGGTAGATCTTGCCCGGTATGTGTGAGGCCTAAAATAAAACAAGAAGGTATAGACAGTGCCTCTTCCAGAGGTTCAGATGCAGGGGAAGGGGTCCCAGTGTCTTCCTGGGTGTTTATAGCACTTACTGTACTTCTCTGAAGTCTAATACAGCAGAAAGACAAAGACCCAGAAGACAAGCTGTCACATGAAGGTTGCCATATCTCTATATTGCCACAAGATGGGAGTATAAAATAAAACTTTATCCTGTCCGCCCTCCCCGGCTCAATAATCCTGTGGATCCTAAGATGTTAGTTAGGACCTTGTCTCAAACCCCAGACACTGGCCCTCTGAACAGCAAACATCACTCTGCTTTTGGTATTGGAGATTTGATCCCCTCGAGGACGCCAAAGGGAAATGGACGTTGAAGCAGGAGAGCTGTCGGGCCTGGTGGTGCAGTCTATGGTTCCAGAGCTTGGGAGATGGAGGGAGGAGGAGCCGAAGTTCAGGGTCATCCTAGCTCCGTAGCTCAGCCAGCTGAGGCTACATGAGACTCTGTCTCAAACAAACCAAACCAAACAGCGGGGTCCGGTTATTTTGTGTGTGTGTGTGTGTGTGTGTGTGTGTGTGTGTGTGTGTGTGTGTGTGTTGGTATTTGCTCCGCCCATGGCCCGAAGGAGGCGGTGCTTCTTGCCATCATATGTGACTTCTTAAAAGGAAAGGGAGAAGGGTCACAAGGTCCCTTCTTCTGCTTCCTGGTCTGATCGAACTGCCAAGTGGATTCACTCCTGGTCAGATCAGAGGACGGCTTCAGCTGCTTACTCAGTTCTGTATTCGTGAGTGCATTTCCTCAATTTATATCCTAATAAATTCCCTAATACTCCTTAAGCAGACTCCAGTGTATTTCTCAAATGGGGGGGGGGCGGGCTGGTTACTTGAGGAGGTGATGTTGTACAACAAATTGTGTTCTACCACTGAGTCACGTCCTCAGATCAGCTTTGTACTTATGTGCAAAAAGCTTATAGTATAAAATGGAAAGATAAATATTATAATGAAATGAAAATGTGTGTGTGTGTGTGTGTGTGTGTGTGTGTTCCTGAGTGTGCATGCCATGGGTGACCCTCAGGGACTCCACCCATAGATGTACTTTACTTCCTGACTTTAGGAGAACAGAAGTAAGGCTATGACTTGCCTAAGACTCTTCTCCGATGCCAGACTTTCCTCTTATTTTCCACCTACCTTACCCAAACCTGACCTTTTGCCCAGATCCAGCATAAGACCTTTTCATTAAATTCATATATTTAAAGATTGATTTTTACTTCATTGAATGTTTGCCCGCAAGTATGTGTGTCTACCGGGTACATTCATGATGTTGTCAGGGGCCAAAAGAGGGCACTGGATCCACAGCCTCTGGACTTAGAGATGGTTGTGAGCATCTTTAAAGCACAGTACTTCTTGTTAAAAATCTTTGTATATCAAGGCTGACAGTGAAGTTCAATGCAGAACACATGTTCTGGGAAGAGCCTGGGCAACACCTGGATCCAGCCTCCAACCCCCCCCCCCAGCCCCCAAACAAACAAACCCTCCATGCCTCAATGATCTGCTCTCTAGCATTGCTCACTACAGCTTCCGGTAGGTGTCCTGGCTTCCATCTTGATACTGAGTCCTTTGCACACAGGGCCGTAGCTTACACACCAGGACTTCTCAGACTTTAATGCACTCCCAGATCCCCTGGCATCTTGTTTGAGAGGCCAGTCTGATTGAGCAGGTCTGGGGAAGGGCCCAGGACTCCCTCAGATTCCTTTGCAGTGGTCCCTGCTGCCAGCCCGCTCAGTACTCACTGCTGCTCCTTAGAAACCTTTCGGTAGTCCATGTTTCTCTGCTTGCTGGTGCCTTGCCTTTCTGCGAAGTGTTAATGGATAATAAGAGCTTGTGATGGTCAGACAGTATAGTTCCAGGTTAAAGCCTGAGCTTTGAGCCATTCAAAATGAAAAAAGTCTGTCTGTCTGTCTGTCTATCTTATCTATCATCCATTTACCTACTATCAATCATTTATCTATCATCCACCCCTATCTATCTATCTATCTATCTATCTATCTATCTATCTATCTATCTATCTATCTATCTATCATCTATCAATCATTTTGTTTTGGAGACAAGGTCTTATGTAGCCCAGGCTAGCCTTAAAATTGCTATCTAGCCGAGAATGACTGAACTCGTGATCCGCCTGCCTTCACCTTTCAAGTACTGGGATTACAGACACGTGTCAATGTGACTGGCTTTTAAGAACCTTTTCTTTGTTAGAGTAAAGGAAATGGGGCTGAGTTTTTGGCTCAGTTGACGGAGTGCTTGCCCGTGCACAAAGCCCTGAGTTGGGTCTCAGCACCACGTCAACTGAGTGTGCGCTCACGTGCCTGTAATCCTCAGGACACAGAGGCAGGAGCAAGAATGAGTTTCAGAACAGTCCTTCCCGAGGCCCTGCTCCTCTCGGAGGATTTCCAGGCAGTTAGTGGCTGCGGGGGAGGGAGAGGCGTTTTCTTCAGTCGTGCAGCAGCTGAATTGCTCACGATGCTGTAGGTAACTGTCATTCATGTTCTTGTAAGCAATCCTAGCAAAGCTCATTGGATAAGAAGAAACCACAAAAATCTAAAATGAAAAAAAAAAGCCGAAACCCAAACAAAATAGACACTCCCAGAAAGATATCAAAGATATCAAACACACACACACACACACACACACACACAGAGTCTTTAATTCTTTACCATGTAAATTGAATTTCCTTTTAAGCATATAACTTTTCTTTTTCCTTTTTTATACATGGTCTCACTATGTAGCCTTAACTGTCCTGGACCTTACTCTGTAGATCAGGCTGGTCTCCAACTCAGAGAGATCGGCCTGCCTCTGCCTCCCGAGTGCTGGGATTAAAAGTGTGCACCACTATGCCAAGCATACGACTTTTGATGCCGACGAGCTGCTATGTTAAGTCAGATCTGTGTTTCCAGGCTCTCCATAATGTATTTTTTTTCTATTTCAGACATTGGATGAAGACTCTCATCAGCACATTGCAAGAGAAATGAATCTCTCTGAAACGGCTTTTATCCGAAAACTGCAACCAACCGACAACTTCACACAAAGTAAATAGAAATGTAAACGTTTTGTTTTACATTTGTGTGTGTGTGTGTGTGTGTATGTGTGTGTGTGTGTGTGTGTGTGGCACGGGCCGTGGCATTTGTGTGAGGCTGGGGGACAGCTTGTAGCAGTTGGTTCTCCATTTCCACCTTGTGAGTCCTGGGGATCAAACTCAAGTCACTGGGACCTTTCCTGGGAGAGAGCAGAATGTCTGTCTACCCCACGCTCACCCCTTGAGGAAGGTTTTCCTGTTAGCTGAGCTCATGATTTAGGGAAGAAGATGCAGAGGCATCTTTCACCTGACCGTGTGGGTTTGATCTCGCTTTTCTTTGCCTTTTCTCCTCGGAAGGTTCCCGCTTTGGACTCAGGTGGTTTACTCCGGAGAGCGAGTTCCCGCTGTGTGGCCACGCCACCCTGGCTTCCGCGGCTGTGCTGTTCCATAAAATGAGTAATGTGGACTTTGCTTATTGATTGATTGGTTGTTGTTTGTGATAGAGTCTCCTTTAGCTCAGGCTGGCCCTGAACAGGGCCAGCTCTGAGTCCTGAAATTCCTCCAGCTTCCTACCTCTGCCTCCCACGTGCTGGTGCCGAAGGAGTGAGTGTGCCTCGCTGTTTTGTTTGAATTTGAGGCAGAATCCCGGGATCCCAGCCTGACTTCACACCTGCTGACTAGCTGAGGCTGACCCTGAACTCCTGACTTTTCTGCATCTGCATCTTAGGTTTACAAGCACATGCTCAGCTAATGTGGTGCTGGGGGTTGACCCAGGGTTTCTGGCATCTAGACAAGCATCTAACAACTCAGTAAGAGTTACATGAGGCAAAACACATATACACATTAATTATTTTTTTTTGCTTTCTAAAAATAAAAAAGTAAATCAAACATTGTAATATAAATCCAAAGAGGTACTGATTTGATACTCATATACTGACAAATGACAATCGAAAAATGTTAAACACCTTTGCCTCCTGTAAGTAAACGATTACATTTCTGTAGGAGGAACACATTGTATGGGCAGCAGAAATGGTGTCATTTATAACCTGCCGTGGACTCCGATCTGAGCCCGCGTGTTTCCCTGGGGTGGGGAGGGAAGGCATGTGTAATGCAAAGCGTGTGTGTCTCAAGGTCTCACTGATGTCACGCCACACCAGGTGTGTGAGCAGAGCCAGAAACACTTTCTATTCACTACATTTTGAGTTAAGTTTTGGTTGGTGTGTGTTCAGAAGCCGCGTACTATTGACACATTCTTTGCAGCATCCACACTCAGTCATGACCTCAGATGAGGCTATGACTCATGGTTTAAGAAGAAGGTGGACGCTAGACAGGGACCTTGAGCTGAAGAAGATAAAACCCGTGCACCGAGCTGGATGGGGAGGAGGCGCATCCGCAGGCTCCAGCCAAAGCAACTCCTGCTGGGTTTTCTCGCCCCCCCCCCCCAAAGACAGGGTTTCTCTGTGTAGCTTTGGAGTCTGTCTGGATCTCACTCTGTAGACCAGGCTGGCCTCGAACTCACAGAGATCACAGAGCCTGGCTCTGCCTCCCGAGTGCTAGGATTAAGGGCGTGCGCTGCCGCCGCCGCCTGGCCCTGCTGTGTTTTCTACAGACTCCGGCATCCTTAGGCTCTTGAGGGAACCTGTGCCTGTGCGGCGAATGAAGTTTCGAGTTAGCCAAGGCCTCGCTACCACGGAATCCAGTACACTCGTTATACTCATTACTTCTGTTGCTGTGCTGAAATACCTCACAGAAGCAACTTAAGGGAGGAGAGGTTTGGTTTGGCTCACCCTCCAGGGGATGCGGGCTATCATGGTGGCCATGGTGGCTTGGGCCATGGTGGCTTGGCCCACAGTTTTAAGAGCATGCACTAGAAACACTGAGATCAGAGAGGAAGCAATACCGTTGGGCCGGGTGCTGGTCAAGTTACAGCCCTTGGAGGCCTGTGGCCTTTGTGAGGATGTAGTGCTAGAATCCAGCTGCCGCTCAGGCCACAAGACCCTGCAGAAGTCCTTCCCCCTCACAGACATTGACAGGCGCCTTACCGAGACACAGACTTCTGGTGTCAGGTACGCTCATTTAGGGGAGTGACTTTTTATCAAAGCGGGTCCTGGCGGCCACACATCCTGCTCCATATCCCCTGCCCTGCCCCCTTCCTGGGACTCAGAGAACCTAGCGACCCGCTTGTGCTATAAAGCCACCCCCATACTCAGAAAGGTGTAAGAAGAGACCCCCCTTCTGCCAAGTGGGCACCAATTTCCTCTCTTCAGAACCACCATGCTGTCTGTTTCATTTAGCTCTGCTGGGGCCTCTGCCATCTTGTTATCTCTCCGCCCATAGCGTTAATGATGCTTTTGGTCAACTCCTTACCGCCCGACAATCTGTCTTAGCGTCCCTCTTGAAAAGCCTCTTCTGAGACCTTTCACCTGTGGGCCAGTTCTCAGACCGTGTCTCCCCCAAAAACAGTACCAGGAGCAGAGGAGCAAGTGTTGGGGACATTTTACTTTCAAGTCATAAAATTCTGATCATTATTATGATTTTGTTTGTGTGGGTAGAGGATAAGCATGAAGACAAGTTTAGGCTGACGAAGTGGACCTGAAACCCCAGTTATTCAGGGGGCTGAGGAGAGAGGATTAAAATTTCAGACTTCCTGGGCCAAAAAGGGAACTCAAGGCCAGACCAAACAGCCTCATGAGACACTGTCTTGAAAATTACAGACGAAGGAGGAGTGGGGAGAGAGCTTAGGGGGCGATACTTTCATGTTTGACCCTCTGGGTTCATTACACACACACACACACACACACACACACACACACACACACACACACAAAACCACCACCACCACACATACAAACATTGACAAACACCCAGAAAACACAGTCACTTTTATTTTCCTGATTCTTGATTCCTCCTCTGTCCAGAGAACACAAACAACACCCTAACCTTTGTCACTATGAGTGGGGAACTAAAGGCCAGAAGAGCAGAGGACGGGATTGTCCTGGACTTTCCTCTCTACCCAACCTCCCCCCAGGTTAGCTCTTTCTTACTATATTTACATCGAATAATTTTATTATCTACAATTACTGCCCCCAGCCCTCCTGTTCAGCAATGACGGTGTCTCTTTTCCTCTTCTAGGACCTCCATGAAGTAGAAGACTTGATAAAGGTTGGTGGGAAGAAGCCAGTTAGAGCCTTGTGGTGTGGTCCTTTGTGTTTGTGTTTGAAAAGCTCTGGTGTGACATGACCCATAAAATAGCCCCAATCCTGTGTACCCACCGCTGTGGATGCCTAGATGGTTTCAGGTCAGAATGTTAGTGTCATGTCTAACATTCATTGAGCTGGAATCTTTCTTTCCTCACTGTAGCTCAGGCTGGCCTTGAACCTGTAATTCTCTTGCCTCTCAAGTACTAGGATTGCAGGTCATACAGTCACAGCTGACTCATTTGATTTAGCTATGAGCAATATAGCCTCCATAGAGGGACAGGAGTAAGATGGAGTGTTTGGGGGCAGACAGAGAAGGCCTGAAGGAGTCGGTGAGGAAGGTAACAGACATTCTCAGCCCCTTTGGACCAAGAAGAGTTGATTTTCCAGCCTGATGAAGGCTGTGTGCTTGCTGAGCGGAGCAGGATAAAGCAAGTTCTCACCACAGGGCCAGCTCTGAGTCCTGGAATTCCTCCAGCTTCCTACCTCTGCTTCCCAGGTGCTGGTGTCGAAGGAATGAGTGTGCCTCGCTGTTTTGTTTGGTTTGGTTTTGAGGTAGAATCCCAGGATACCAACCTGACTTCACACCTGCTGACTAGCTGAGGCTGACCCTGAACTCCTGACTTTTCTGCCTCTGCATCTTAGGTTTACAAGCACATGCTCAGCTAATGTGGTGCTGGGGGTTGACCCAGGGCTTCTGGCATCTAGACAAGCATCTAACAACTCAGTAAGAGTTAGTCCTCTGAGGAGTTTTGATCTGCTTCACAGGCAGCCATAGGTGACACCCTGGTCCAGGATATCCGGTACTCTCCAGATACCAAAAACCTCATGGTCCGGCTCAGCGATTCTTACAACAGGTAAATGCCTTGTTTATCCATTTACACGCCAGCATCCAGAATTTCAGCTCTGCTTCCATCAGGCTGTGCTGTCACCAAAGCATGATTTGTCTTTTCTTTTCTGTCTCTCTATGTGTCTCTGACTCTCCTGGAACTCACTCTGTAGACCAGGCTGGCCTCAAACTCACAGAGATCCACCTGCCTCTGCCTCCCACGTGCTGCTGGGATTAGAGGCATCTGCCATCATGCCTGGCCCAAACACTTTCTTTCCCAGAGGCAGATGTCAAAGGCAGGCCCCCCTTCCCTCTGCTGAGCCATCTGGGCACAGCCCAGCCTCTTTCCTATTCTGTGTGTAGGGATGGTCTGTGAAATGCTTATTCCTAATCCATCCTGTTTGTGCTCAAGGTCCTTTCTAGAGACCCTGAAGGTGAACACAGAGCCTCTGCCTCGAATTGAACAGACAGGGAAGGTGAAAGGACTCATTCTCACTCTCAAAGGAGAGCCTGGGGGGCGGACACCCCAATATGACTTCTACTCCCGATACTTTGCGCCATGGGTTGGTGTGGCTGAAGACCCGGTAACAGGTACTCTTTCCCATGATGTCACTCAGATGTCAAGGTAGCACTTGGGAGGTTAGGGCAGGGGGGAAAGAAGTTAAGACTAACCTCAGCTAGTTGTAGGATAGCCTGGGCTACTTGAGACAGTCATAAAAAAGAAAAACAGAAAAATGACCCCACAGTTGAATGCAACTTCAGAGGGAGTAAGCAATTACCCACAAATCCTCTCTCTCCCTTTCCTCACTCCACACTCTTCTGGGGCCACCTTCACCAAGGACTGCATGATTGGTTGTAATTGTTGATACATTTAGAGGAACGTCACTCCTGATCTCATCGCCTGTCACTTCTTTCCAGGGTCCACCCACACTATACTTGGCCCCTACTGGTCTGAGGAGCTGGGCAAGAAAGAGATGCGAGGTAGGCTGGCTCTCTCCATCCCTTCCTCTCTCTCTCTCTTTGGGTGCTTGGGTATTGAACTCGGGTCCTTCAATGTTCAGCAAATGGGAAACCGTGGAGCCATGGCTCCTGCTGTGGAATTCAGGATGACCAGGTGTGTGCCCCCGCCTCCTGAAGGCTCAGTCCCCCAGGGGTGACTCAAAAACTCAAGCACATAGAAAAGGAACTTGGCTGAAGGAAGCCACATTAATTAACTCATCATCAGAGCGGGGCTCTGACCCCCAAGGATGAGCTCTTTCTGAAGGGAGGACTCGGTCTCAGTGACTTGATGTAGAGAATGGGTGTTTGGTTTCTGTCCTGGGTGAGTCTAATGCCTTACTAGGCAGGGAGCTCCTGGAAGGCTGAGGCTGCGGCTCCCTCGTACCCCAGGCCTCGCAGTTACTTTAACTTCCTACAAGGAAACTAACTTCCATCTGCCTCTTCTGAGCTGAGAAGGGGCAGGGTGGGGGGAACCTTCTCAGGTGGGCCAGGACCCCCTCTCTACATCTTCGGAGACTACCGTTCCCCGCCTCCATCTCTCTGCACATCCCTGAGCATCCTAGAGGAAGCATTAGGTGGGGCACAGCTGGCCAATGCAGAAAGTGACCCAGGAAGGGAAGGGCTGGGCAGCGTGTGTGTGCACATCAGTTGTGTGTGGACCTCTCAGTCTGCAGGAGGATGGGGAGGACGTGGGGAGCGCTGTGCACACATGGAGGAATTTATTCTGGAAACTGGCCTAGGAGGAGTCCTGGGTTGGTGACAATCAATCCTTCACGGTGTGGTCAGTCACAGCGAAGTGCTCTGAACTGACCCCACTCTGTGTTCTGTTTAGCCTTCCAGTGTTCCCGCCGAGGAGGGGAACTGGACATTTCCCTGCGACCTGATGGCCGAGTTGACCTGAAGGGTGGCGCTGCTATTGTCTTAGAGGGCACGCTCACAGTCTAGAGACACCTGTGCTGGGCTGTGGCCGCGGCTGAACACGGTGTTTTCTCTACACCAAAAAAGCAAATCAAACAAGCAAACAGCAAACGCCCAGAGCTTGCTTCAGCGAGCTCACCGACCAGCGCCCTCAACCCTCTTGTGAAGAACAGAAAGGAAGCCAGTTGATGGAGAGGAGATGGCGTCTCCAGACTCCTTAGCTGATGATGGGCTCAGGCCTCTGCCTGTCTTCAGTGGCCCACAGCAGAGAGTGATGCTGTCACTTCTTTCGATTATGACTGCCAATCAAAGTGAGAGATCCATTGATAAGGATCCAGATGAAATTTAGATTTAGGTGTGTACACCCCATAGAAGTTTTATAACTGTATATATAATTTTAATTTAAAGACAGAGTCGTACTGTATAACCCTAGCTTGGAAGAACTCTCTATGTAGACCAGGCTACCCTCCGACTCACAGACATTTGCCTACCTCTGACTCTCGAGTGGATTAATGGTGTGCTCCATCATGCCCAGACTCATAATCTTTTTAGTAGACCCAATTGCTCTGTGGAAATGCAGACCAAACACTAAAGAGAATAGACTGTAAACTGTTAAGGAGGCCAGGCTATGGCTGTGGGGAATTTGGAGTCACATGACTGTGAAAACAGCAAAGAGAAACAGGTTCGTGTGGGAAGATTCAGAGGAATCTTAGTGTCAGTGAGTAACACTCAGGACAAAACCCAGGGAATTAAGACAAAGTGTGTATCTGAGTAGATTATATGATGATAAAAATAAACACTGAGAACAGCATGATCTTACCTCTGTCTCCTCTGTGTCTTGAGGATGGCGACGCCATGACTTCACACATATTTGCATTTGGTCACATCTACAGTACTGACTCCCCGGGAGTGGCTCCGGAGTAGGAAGCTCCTCCCCAGGTTGGCACGATAATCATAAGCCTGGTGTGCTGCTCCATGCCTGTAACCTCAGCACTTGGAGAGAGAGAGAGAGAGAGAGGCGGGAGGATCAGGAGTTCAAGGCCAGCTTCCACGGGGCAAACTGTCAGTTAACCTGGGTCACCTGAAACCCTGTTTTGTAAAGCTGAATTCACTGATGTTGATTCTCAAACATTTCCAAAGTTGCAAGGTAGCTGCAGGGCATCTACCCACCAACCCCACAGCTTCCCAGAGTTTTTTTGAATGCAAACAGCAGCAGGAAATATTAGATAGAAGGATTTATATTGCGGAGATAAACAGATAGAAAATACAGGATAGTCTCAAGAGGGCCTGGAACCTATTTCAATGGACCCTGACTGTCTCTGCCCCAGGATATTTATAGAGACGCCAAGGGATGGCGCAAAAAACCTCCCCTAGCACAGCCAAGTGCAGACCATCTCAGACACCTGCACTCAGGCCCGTGGTCCTAATCATCCTCTCTATGCGGACCTGCTGGGTAAAGCCACGAGGAACCTGAAAACGGGCTCCCACGGGTAGCCTGGTTTGGTGCAGCACGTCCATAGACCCAGCACTTGTGTTGAGGCAGGAGGATTGTTACTTGAAGGGCAGCCTGGGATGCATAGTCAGATGGACTCACAAAACAGAGCAGAACAGACACACACACACACACACACACACACACACACACACACACACACACACACACACCAGAGTTTCTAGCCCTAACCTCCCGCCCCCTGTTTATCATTCAGTTGTCACTGTGTTTTAAGTGATGATGGAGCCGAGTCTTGTGCATGCCAGGCAAACACTACAAATTGTGTCGCACCCCCCAGTTCTAGGACGTAAATCCTCAGATCTTCCTGGGGACTTAAAACTCAGAGAATAGATGCCAGAGGACAACTTTGGGGAGTCAGTCTCACTTCCCACCTTGGTGGGGACTGGACTCTGGTCCAGGCTTGTCTGCTCAGTGCCTGCAGTTGCTGAGACATCTCCCTGTTCCCTGAATTCACTTTTGAAAGTATTCACAGCCAAAGCCAGTGACTCTCCTACAGGCTCAGTTAATGGAGAAGCTGAGGCAGAGGGATTACTTAATACTGCCAGCTGGGGGACCAGCCTCCAGACAGCACAGGGCACAAAAGGAATCCACAGCAACAATGTAACTAAGACTTTTCTATCTGAGGGGGTTAGGAAAAAAAAAAACCACTCACATACTCTCTTGATGGTTTCCTTCTTTATTCTCTGTTGTTCTTCTGTCCTTTCTCTGTTCTCTCATGTCTTCCTACAGCTTTTTTTTTTTTTTTTTTTTGCTTTTTCAAGTCAGGGTTTCTCTGTGCAGTTTTGTGCCTTTCCTGGACCTCACTTGGTAGACCAGGCTGGCCTCGAACTCACAGAGATCCACTTGCCTCTGCCTCCCGAGTGCTGGGACTAAAGGTGTGCGCCACCACCGCCCGGCCTTCCTACAGCTCATACACCCCCAACACACTCATTCAGGCAATATGGGACTCACAAAGAGGTTACATTCCATTATTAAGTGAATGATTATAGAACCCATGACTACGTAAACCTTTTGAACTTACAACACTGTGTAATCAAAAGTCATAAATCTGAGTGCCTTTCCTATCTCAGATTCCTCAGGGGTACCAAGAGAGTGCCAGCTAAAGTCTGGGAACATGGAGACACCTGGGATGTCATAAATCTTCTAGTTCGAGCGCTAGTCAACATTCCTGAGATGCTGTATATCTCCTAGCCTCAGCTCCAGTGGGTACTCCTGTGGCACTGTGGCACCATGACGCTTTAAATCTCAAAATGTACTTTTTCCCCTGTGTGTATCCCCTGATCAAAAGAAACCTGTAGCCCTTTTGGGGGGGCTACAGAGTCAGATTATTCTCTGGAGCCCTGACTAGTCAGAATTTTCTTCCCCATGGTGTATTTCAATAAAAGTTGCTTCTGTTTCCAGACTTTAGTGTTCTATTTCCTATTATCTGTGCAATACCAAGACCCAACACTTTTATGCATAAAAACCAGTCAGTCAGCTGAACTTTGAATCTTCAGGGTGCATACCCATATCAGCAAATTGAGGTCAGGAATGGGTACAAGGAATTAATCATTCATTAGCTAGCAACAATTGGGCTGTTTTGTATTTAGGACCCTATCCAAATGAATCAGACAGTTCAGGTTATGTCCTTGTGAACTTTAGAATGTTTTTCTGGGATTGTTTATCAAAAAAAAATAACAACAACAACAAAAAAAACACATTAGCAAGGCATCTGGGTTAATCTAAAGTTATTTTGAAGCTTTGTTTTAGCTTAATAGTGCACACTGAAAATCCATGACTGCATCTTTTCAGTATTAAGAGAATTGGAGCCAGTCTGGATCCTTTTAATCTGAGCTGTGATCTCAAGCAGCTCCTAGGTGGAACTCATTGGCCTTAGCTATGAAATATATCCTTGTATCTATTTTTATTCATCAAAACTCTGTATAAGCTACCATTATAATTATCAATCAGACAATACAGCTTAGGGAGGAATCATCTTGACAATCCACAGATAAAACTGCCCAGTGGATCTGGATGTTTTCATGAGATAAACATACTACATCACAGGCAGTAGGGGGTCTCCTCACACCCATTCACACCATGCCACACACACCAGAGAAAGATTGTAGCAGCGAACATGTAAAGGCACAGCAGAAGCAAAAGACATTCCGGAGTCTGTAGTCTCGTAGCCTCGCTTAAACGAGAATCACCCATCAGAGAGTCTCCTCCTGGTGGGCTGACACCTCGAACTTCAATTGCCATCTCTTGCTCCTATGACATGGCCACGGGCAACTTTAGCCCTCTCACCTCTTACAAACACTAGGGATTTAGGTCTGGGGTGTGGAGGTGCCTGTGTTATAAAACATATGCTTAGCATACCTGAGTCCCTGAGTTTAAACTGTGACACACACAGACACACACACACACAGACACACACACACACCACTTAGATGTAATTTCAGAAAACTACTTAACTGACATCTCAAAACCTTGCAGCTGTAACTCCTGGTTACTAGAGTTCATGTATTTTCTCTCAGGGACAATTAGTGAGAGCTGATGGATGGAACCAATGAGGCTGAAGATCAGTGAACACCCAGACATAATTTGGTTTTATTCTGTTTTTTCTTTTTTTCCTTTGAGATGGAGAAATCCCAGTCTGGCCTTGAACTCAAGGCAGGCCTCCTGTTGAATTCACCTGACTCCTGTGCCACTGAGCCTGGCTCTCAAGCTCCCCTATTAAATCTGTGAAAACCCGATGGTCAGGTCTAGAGACACAAGCCTGTAATCCCACTTTAAAATGGAAGCTGAGGCAGGAGGATTGCAAGCTGAAGGCTTGCCTAGGCTTCACAGACAGTTCAAGGCCAACATGGACAACATTGGCAAGATCCTGGCCCCACATAATAGGTAAACAAGCTGCGTGGCAGAGCAGTGAGCCGTCATGTGTGAGCCTGGGCTGCACCCCAGCCATGTAGAAGGGAACCACGTATCATTACAGACGCTTTGATCCTGTCTGTGCTGACTCACGCTATCTGATATAATCTACCTCAAAATCTTCAAACAATCCCACAAACAAGCTGAAAAGCAGCAAGACAGTGATGCTACTAACAGAGACACATCCTGGAGGATGACACTCGATGGCAAACCTTCCTGTTTGTCTTCCATACTCAAAAGTTCAGTTACGACATGCACTGAGTATATCGCCACTTAAATTACTCAGTAGATATCTGTTGTGTACCAGACACTCTTCCAGCAGCTAAGTAAATTCAAAAGGAGAAAAGGGAAGTCAGGCATGGTAGCACAGGACTTTATTGCCAGAACTAAGGAAGCAGAGGCAGGCAGATCTCTGAGTTCAAGGGCAGACTTAAGATCCAGGCCATAAAGGCTGCATAGTAAGACCCTATATTAAGAAAAAACAAAAATAAACAAACAAAAAACCCAAGAAGAGGGTGACTTGATGTTGTTTCCTGATGATGAAAACCCAAAGTTTGCCAGTCGGTGATGGCGCATGCCTTTAATCCCAACATTTGGGAGGCAGAGGCAGGTGAATATCTGAATTCAAGGCCAGCCTGGTCTAGAGAGTTCCAGGAAAGTCAGGGCTACAAAGAAAAACCCAGTCTCAAAAAACAAAAAGAAAACAATAACAAGCCCAAAACAAACAAACAAAAAACCCAGTGTTTACTTTTTACCTATCAGACTAACTTTCACATACTGTGTAAGTTGGTAAACTCTTTTATTGTTTTGAGGAAGGGTCTCAGGTATCCCAGGTTGGTCTGGAATTCCCTGTGTGGCTGAGGATGACTTTGAACCTGTTCCTCCTGCCCCCCGCCCCCCCCCCCCCCCGTTACCTTGGGTAGGATTATAGATGTGTGCCACCATGTCCTGTTTAAGGGCCACTGGGGATTCGATCCAGGGCTTTGAGCAAGCTAAGGAACACTAGCAACTGAGCTGGATCAGCAGCCTTCTCTCCTTCAGTGCTGGGAGAGAACCCACGGCCTTGTGCACACCAAGCAAGTGCTCACTTGCCCAGCACTAAGACACTCTCTGCAAAGGTACTTCAATGCAAAGGCTGAAAAAGTTAGAGGAGGGTTGGTGTCTTTAAAGGGAAATATGTTGGACTAATTGTTTGACTTTGTTATCTAGGAACCATTAACTGCATGCATGTGTGCACCAGTGAAATATTAACTTTCTGGCTTTTTTTTTTTTTTTTTTTTAAGACAACAGAAAGTGAAGCAGGCTCCCAGCAAGGCAGGGACCTCCCAGACAGAGCTGGCGAGGAAAATGAAGCTCCCGATTTTCATAGCAGATGCATTCACGGCAACAGCTTTCCGGGGTAATCCCGCTGCCGTCTGCCTCGTGGAAAATGTAAGTCCTCAGTTCTCAAGGGCCGTGCCTGGAATCCTGGATGTGTGCAGAGCCCATGACTCATGTAGAAGAAGTGAGACCATCCTGAGTGTTCGCCACTTTGGCTTGTGTTCTTTGTTCTTTGTCACAGCGGTGACGGTCGTGACTTCAGGTTATGCTATATATTATAACCTAGGCTGAGTCAGAACCACAGAGAGTCCCACGCAGGGGAACTGGAGCCGATTAAAGAAGCAGCAGCTGGGAGTCGGGGCTCATATGCCTGTAACTCTGGGGTTCCAAAGGATAAGGCAGCAGGATCACGACTCTGAGGCCAGCCTGGGTTCTAGAGGAGGTCCTAGACCAGCTGGGGGCTATATGAGGAGACCCATCTCACAAAATCAAAAATGAATAGATACGCAAATAATTCTAAAAAAGTAGGGGGAGGGCTAAATGCTAAATATGGATCTTATTTTAGGGACTCTCTCCTGGGGGTTGGGAGAGGGCTTAAGGCAAGATCAAGATTTGCAACCCACGGTGACCTTAAACTCCCTACGTAGCCCAAGCTATCCTCCAACTCCGTCTGTCCTGGACTCCTCCGCGCTGAGGGGTTGCAGGCGTGTGCCGCCACGCCTGCCTCTAATCTTCCCTAGGCCTGGCTTACAACAGCCTGTAACTCCGGCTCCCGAGGATCTGACACTCTCTTCTGACCTCCGGGAACACTGCACTCGTGTGTACAAACCCAGACAGTCTGTCTGTCTGTCTGTCTCTCTTTCTCTCTCTCCAAAGGCTCTACACTCAAGTGTATACTGACAGACAGACACAAACACAGACCCACACATATACCCTCTCTCTCTCTCTCTCTCTCTCTCTCTCTCTCTTTCTCTCTCTCTCTCTCTCTCTCCAAATAATCATCAAAATATTAAAAAATATCTCTTTAGGATCAAGAAAATAAGGTCCTTGCAAGGAATTAAAAAGAAACAAGGAGTTGATCTATAGTTCCTGGAAAAGTGAGTTTCCGAAAGTCTTCCTTTTATAAATAGCTCTTTTTCATGGGGGTGATAGCTCAGCAGGTATAGTTCCTTGGCACCAAGCCCGAAGGCCAGAGTTCAATCCCTGGTTGTCACATAGTGGAAGCAGAAAATCTCCTTCTGCATGTAGACCTCTGAGCTCATAGGCGTGTGTTGACACACATGGGCCTCCCCCAAATAAATGAATTCGTTGACTTTATATTATTGATTTTGATTAGGATAGTTGCTAATAAGATAGTTAAATATTCCTTGGCCTTCTGGGTGAATGTTGAATTGTTTCCTGGGTCGTAGGAGGCAGGGACCTTCCTGTGATGGTTTACATTGACGGTCAACTTGACAAGCTCTGGAGTGGCCTTAGAGACACATGTCTTGACATGTCTGTGAGGGGGGCCTCAGATAAGTTTACTTGTATTGGAAAGACCCACCCTAACTGTGGGTAACACCGTGGGCAGTGGATGAAGTCCTGGGTGTGTATTGCTTGCTATGAGCATGGCCTGTCAAAGATCCGAATGCTCAGAGGCGTGGGAGTTGGCAAAGAAGTCCCTGGGTGAGGCTCGGGGAAGTGGCAAAGCATTCCCGTGGTCTGTGTGCGAATGCTGACAGAATGTCTAGAAGCATGGGGCTTCAGCTCCCTCCTCCTAGGTTTGGTCACAACAACCTCAGACCATTCCCTACAGAGATGTGGCACCCACAGTAGCTAACCCCTCCTCCCAGGGCTTTACGTAATAAACATGCCGGGCTACTACTACGTCCAGTATTAGCAGGTGCCCTCCCACGGAGCCAGCCCAGCCCACCCCATCCCAGCTTTTCTGCGTGTCTGTCTGCCATTTCTTTACCCCCTCATCTCCCCAGTCAGATTTCCAGGGCCACGCTGTGGCCTGGAAGGACAGCACAGTGTCTTGGGTGAGAATCCTTGACCCCACAAAAGAAGAAAGCTGGGGCGGGGGACGGTGGGAGCCATGAGTGCCTGATGAGCAGAGTCCGGTTCACTAGGGTTCAAGTCTGAGCACCTATGTTGAAAACACCTGTAATCCCAGCATTCCTACCATCATAGGGGAGCTGGAGACCAGAGGGTCACCTGGAAGCTTGAAGGTCACCCAGGGCAGCGGCCGAAGCCAGAGAGCCCTGCTTCATGTTCTGATCTTCACCAGAAAATTGTCCTCTGGCCTCCATAGCCCTGCCTGCCCTCTCCCATCCCACATCTTTCTCATTAAATACATTTAGTAATTGGAAATTTAATAGTTATTTATTAATCAAATGTGTTAATTTGAAAACTATCGCCCATGCTTCCTGGCTGTGGATGAAGTGTGTTTGGCTGCCCCACACTTCCGCCGCAGTGAGTCTAGTCTCGCGACTCCAAGTCAGAAATGTATCTTGGGCCGCAGTGGGGCTGGGGTGGGCGATGAAGACAGGCTCTCTCTAGGCAGTCATGTAATAATAGCCTTGATCTCGAAAGGATTTAAACACTCAGCTTTCACCAGATAGTAAGAATTGGCACGATGCTCTAAAGTCTCTTCCTCGCCAGGACGTAACATCAGTACAATTTTAACTTCATCTTTCTGTCTCTGCTTCCCAAGGAGTGGGACTATAGACATGCACCGCTGTCCTCAGCTTTATTTATTTATTTAATGGTTTGAAAGGTCGGCGACATGGCTCAGCCAGTGAGGGGGCTTGCTGCACAATCCTGACGACCTGAGTTCAATCCCTGGAGCCCAGTTAGAGGCAGACGGTGAGGGCCAATTCCAAAAGGCTGTCTTCTGCCCTCTGTGTGCATCCTGTGGTATGCACGCCCCAGAATATTAAATTAATTCGTTGGTGTAGAAGAAAAGGCTTTTCTTATCAGACACTAGCATGGGTCTCATTTGAAGTACTGTCACGTGTTGGCACCGGAGAAGCATTTTGTAGGTACTAGTGGGTTTAACTGTATATAAAAATAATAATAATAATAATAATAATGCTGGGACAGGTGAGATTGTTCCTTGGCCAAAGGCACATGCTGTCAAGTCTGACGACCAGAGTTTGATCCTCAGGACCCACATGAGGGAAAAAAAAAAATCAACTTCCACACATTTTCCTCTGACCTTCACAGGGGCACCGTGGTATTCAAAAGCACACATACCCAGCCCCCCTCCCACAATTGTAGTATTTTTTTTTTTAAAAAAATGTAAATGTAGGGGCTGGAGAGATGGCTCAGCGGTTAAGAGCACTGGCTGCTCTTCCAGAGGTCCTGAGTTCAATTCCCAGCAACCACATGGTGGCTCACAACCATCTGTAATGAGATCTGGCACGCAGGCAGAGCACTGTATACAAAATAAATAAAAAAGAAAAGAAAAAAATGTAAATGCAGAGAAAAACAGTAGGTGGGGGTGGTCACACACACCTGAAATCTCAGCGCTTCGGAGACCGAGGAAGGGGATTGTGAGTTTATAAAGCAGCCCCTACTCCCGGCTAAGGTAGAGGAATCACAAGATGCCCACCTGGGCATCTTAGAACTTGTCTACAAAGAAAAAGTAATTCATTCATTCATTAAAAATGGCTGCGGCCATGGCTCAGCGATAGAGCGCTTGCCCTGCGTGCGTGGAGCCTTAGGGTTGATTCCCTGCACTTGGAAAAAGTGGACAGAAAAGTGCCCAAGATCTTTAGCTGGACAACAAACGGACACAGAGAGGAACCTGGCCCCGATGCTCTGGGTTTGCACCCCTGTAGCACTCATTGCACATTTGTGATTCTCAAAGGTGCTGTGGGCCTGGCTATCTGAAAAACTGTCTGTCCTACCATGCCTCCAATTCCTCGGCCCCTAACTTGAATTTCACTAGTCCACCGCTATGTTAACTAATGGTAGTTGGCCATGCATGGAAGTCTGGGTTGTGTTTCCAAAGTCTCAATGACCTTTTCTTCCTAATTAAGACACTGCCCGAAGACGCCCATCAGCGCATCGCGGGGGAAATGAATCTCTCCGAAACGGCTTTCATCAGGAAACTGCAACCAAGCGACAACTTCACACAGAGTAACCGCACATTTTCCATACGTTCCTGGGTGGCCGTGGAAGCCGAGACTCAGGAGGGAGGTTTAAGGAGGTGTTTGTGTGTGGTCTGCCTGCAGGTAGCTCACATGGGTTTTAGTTCATCTAGGAGAAGGTGTGTTGAACTTAAGTCTACGTTTATAGTGTAAGGTTTCCCCACCTAACGAAGGTCATGTATTGGAAAGTGAGTCCCCAGGGTAGCACATTGGTAGGTGGATCCTAATAGGAGAAAACGGAGTAATGTCATCTCTGAGGGCGGGTTGGTATCTCGGGAGCCGGCTTCTCAGACAACGGTGTTTGGCGCCCTCATGTGCCTGTGCCTTGCCCTGGGCTAATGCACTGACAGGAGGCTCAGCAGGTGCCGGCCCCTAGACCTTGAACCTCCAAACCATCGGGTCTATAGCAGATATTTTCTCAAAGAGTTGCCCGATATGTGGAGTTCTGTTATAGCAACCCAAACGGACGAGGAGGGTGTTGGCGAACCCACTGGTTCTTCTGCAGACCTAGCCGCGGGGGAGCCTGTGGATGTCTGTCCGGTCTGTGTTCGTCCTTTGAGCACGGTTTGCTGTTAACCACACCAGGGAGGGATGTAGGAAGGAAGATGCTGGAGGCTTGCCTGTATGCGGGTCTGACGTGTGTCTCTTTGGCTTTCCCCCCTTGA